CACGTCACACATCTAATTAGTATATTTTTCTATTCTTTCTTTTCTTTTCTTCTTTTTTTTTTTTTTGAGGATGATTAGCCCTGAGCTAACTACTGCCAGTCCTCCTCTTTTTGCTGAGGAAGCCTGGCCCTGAGCTCACATCCATGCCCATCTTCCTCTACTTTATATGTGGGATGCCTATCACAGCATGGCTTGCCAAACGGTGCCATGTCTGCACCCGGGATCCGAAACGGTGAACCCCGGGCCGCTGAAGCGGAACGTGTGCACTTAACTGCTGCACCACTGGGCCGGCCCCATGTATACTTTTATTTTCACTTAACATTACACTATAAGCATTTCCGCATCATCTAAATCTCAGCAAATGTTTTTAAATAGTGTTTTCCAGTTTAAAAAAAAATAGTCATGTTAGATGATACAGAAAAGTATAAAAAATAAAATAAAATCATTCATAATTTAACTACCCAGCAATAATCACCTTTGTGCAGTCTATAATTCCTTCTACTATATTTTGCATGTAAATGTACATTTTTAATAAATTAGAATAATTCTCAACAAACCTATTTTTTTACAAAGTGTTATGTTTTGAGCATTTTCCCATATCATTAAATATTCCTCAATTACAATTTTAATGTGTGAATTTAACGCATGTAAACCATCACTCTATTTGTTGAACTTCTCAGTTTTAATTCTTCTTTCCTGTATTATAAATAACCTTGCACAAAACATCTCCCTGGATAAATCTTTGGCTGCATTTCACTTCTTAAATTAGATTCCAATCAAAGGCCATTTCTCAATGATCTTTCCAGAGTTGTTTTTAAGGCTCTTGATAAATATTGTAAATTCCTCTCCCAAAAGACTCTCTCCATCTTTCCAGAATATAAACTTCTTTACGTCCTTTCTGTACAAAAGCTTTCCTCCAGTGCCTCTTTAGTGTCCTGCACACTCAAATACACATTCACATTGTCTCCTCTGCCACACTCCCCTCTCAGCCATGCCAGTTTATTTCCAGGACACACCATGGGCTCTCACATTAAACCTCCATGCCTTTGTTCAGGTGGTGTCTTCCACCTAAAATGCCCCTTACCTCCTTTCTTTCCCAAGCAAAACCCTATTCTCCTTTTAAGGGCCAGTTCAGTAAAGCCCATGTCTCTGGGCAGAGTTCATCTGCCCTCTGCTGGGCTCCCAAAGCATGCCATAGACTTCCATAAGGGTAATTTTCACCTTCAAATAATTGTGGCACACAGCAAATCTTGTCCTGCTCCAGTTTAAAACCCTTCCATGGAACATAACAGAAAGTTCAGAAATTGACCCAAGTACACCTGGGAATGTAGATGATGATAATGGAGACGTTTCAAATGAGTTGGGAAAAGATAATAATATTCAGATAATTGGGTAGGAATTTGGAAAAATTTTTCAGATTCTGCTCTCACACCTTACACCAAAGTGAATTTATGATGGAACAAGGATTAAAATGTAAAATATGAAACCATGTAAAAACTAGTGGCAAACAGAGAATTATTTGTATAATATCAAACTGGAGAGGGTCTTCCTAAGAATGACCTAGAACCCAGAAGCCACAAAGGAAAAGACTGATAAATTAAAACATACAAAATAAAAGTTTTTCCATGGTAATAAATAATAAATTGGAAAATTGTTTACAACTTATATGTAGAAAAAAAGGATAAAAATTCCTGTAAATCAATGGGGAAAAAGTTCATCAGAAAGACCAACTGAAAAAAGGGCAAATGAAATGAACATAAAATTCACCAGGACAAAATATCCCCCCCCGAAAAAGACTCGTAAGTGTGAAAAATTGCTCAATTTCACCTTTTTTTTTTTTTTTTTTTGGCGAGGAAGATTGTCACTGAGCTAAGATCTGTGCCCATCTTCCTCTATTTTATAGGTGGGACACCATCACAGCATGGCTTGACGAGCAGTGCATAGGTCTGCAACTGGGATCTGAACTTGCAAATCCTGGGCTGCCAAAGCAGAGCGTGCAAACTTAACCACTACACCAGCAAGCTGGCCTTCAATTTCACTCTTAATAAAAAGAAATGAAAATGAAAGTGGCTCTCAGTTTTTATCTATCTGATGAGCAAGGATAAAAAGGTTTGATGACACTCTGTACTGTTCAGGATGTGGGGAAATCGGCACTCTCATATTTTATTGGTGGGAGAACAAACTGATACAACTCTTATGTAAAGCATTGTGCCAATATCCATTAAAACAAAACAAAAACAAATTCATATACTCATTTGTTGGTAATTCCACTTCCAGGGATTTACCTAACAGATAAACTCCTACATGCAAAACAACGAATGGACAAGTTATAACCTTATTTGTAATAAGAAAGGATTGGAAACTACCTAAGTGTTCCCGAATAGGGGATTGGGCCAGGAAATTATGGCATGTTCTTATAAAGTTGTGCAGTAATTTAAAAAATTGAGAGCTCAGGGAAAAAGCAAGATGTAGAAGTGTTTATAGCAAGCCACCATTTGTGTAAAACATTTATACACATAAATGTGTTGTGAATACAGCAACCATCTCTGAAAGGCTACAGAAATGATGACCTCTGTGAGGGAACTTGGGGGTGGGAAGAAGACCCACCGTTTCATCCCAGGCTCTTTGGTATATTTTTAATATTCAGTGTTCCTGTATACGTAGCTATTTTTAGTCAATTAAATGAACATAAAATAAAACACCTTTCAATGTTTAGAATCAAGTCCAACTCACTTCCATGGTCAGCTTTCCAACTTCCTCTCACACTGTATTTGCCATCCCTCACTACCTTCCAGTCACACTGCTTCTCCTTCAGCTTCTGGAACATGCCAAGGTCTTCCTGCCTCAGGACATTTGGCACAAGCTGTTCCCTCTGCCTACGCTGATGTTCTCTAGGCTCCTTCCATGAGTTGGCATTTTCTTTTCTTTAGAAATTTAAAAAAAATGTACAGCTTTTTTTTTCCCCTTTGGCTAGGAAAGGTTCACCCTGAGCTGTTGCCAATCTTCTTCTCTCTCTCTTTTTTCTTGTCTTTTTTTCCTCCCCAAAGCCCCAGTATATAGTTGCATATTGTAGTTGTAAGTCCTTCTAGTTCTTCTATGTGAGCCCCCACCGGAGCATGGCTACTGACAGATGGGTGGTGTGTTTCGGCCCCAGGGGAACCAAACCGGGGTGTATGGAAATTTAACCACTAGGCCACCAGGGCTGGGTCAAGTTGGCATTTTCTGATACTTCAAATCTTGGGTTCTACGTCATCTCTTCAAAGAGACCATCCTTGGCTACCCTGCATAAACAACTGTTGAGAAAATGCCTCTCTCTCACTGGGCAGGGAGGGTGGGCTCACCTCCCTGACCACTCAGTCTAAAACAGCGCCTCTCCCTTCACCCTCTTCATGACAATACCCTGATCTACTTTCTTTATAGCACTAGTCACTATGTGAAATTGCCTTGTTCCTGTATCGTCTTAGTTGTTTACTGTCTCTCTCCATCTCAAGGGTTTGTCTCCATGAAAGCAGGGACCATGTCTTGTCTTGTTCCTAACTCTACCTTCAGCAACCCAAACAATACACATTTGCTGAATAAATTTATGCAGCATATACTACGGACTGTGCACTCTTCTATGGACTTTACAAATAACTCTTTTAATCCTCAAATAACCCAGTGAGGGAGGTTGGTTTTTACCCATTTTAGAATTAAGGAAACTGAGGCACACAGCAGTTGAGGAACCTGCCCAACTAGCAGAGTTGGAATCCCAGACACAAGGTGGTTAGCCACAATGCGATGCTTTTTCGACATATAAACTGACCGGTGGATGAAATTGACTGATTAAATGAATGAATGAATGGGTATGTGAATGTAAACGTGGATTTTTTTTGCGTCTCCGGAATCCCCCAGCTCTACCGCAAGGGGGCGCTCTCTCCCAGGTCTTGCCGCTGGTCCTCAAGGCGCGCACTCCCTTTGCGTCTCGGGCTCGCGCGCGCTGCCGCGGCACCGGAAGTGACTGAGCTTGCAAGTTCCCCCGGTCTGTTCAGGGGAAACTGAGGCCGGCTCGTGCGGAAGAGACAGCGCGAGTCGTCAGCCAGGTAGGCCGGCCTGGGTCCGCGGCGCGGAACTCGGCCGTGAAGAGCCCTCGCGTCTGGAAACGACTTGGCCGATGAAGGGGGGATGTGGCCCCCCACGGCTGGCGGGGCTCGCAGGTGAGAGCGCCGCCTCCCCTGTGCGTGGCAGGCGCTGCGCCCAATGGGAGCCCTGCCGTTCCGCTTCTGTGCCGTCTGGGCTCGCTGATTGGCTCCGCCTGGGCGGGCCGCCGGGGGCGAGACCCCTCCTCCCAGAAAGGTCTAGGGGGCGCCCCTGAGGGAGAGCGGTTGCCTAGCAACGGGGCGGTGGCCCGGCGGGTACCCGGCCTAGCGCGCGCGCGAAGCCGCGAGGCCGCAGCCCACCCACTCCGGGCTCCGGAGAGGTGCAGCCCCCGGCCCCCGAGCCCTCCCGGGGGCGCCAGGAAGCTGCTTTGGGCCCGCTCCCAGGAAAACGTGGTCTCAGCCGTGGGGGGCCCAGAGCAGGCCTCGACCCCTCTCCCTGACCGGAGGAGAGGCCCGGCGCCTCATCCTCAGCCGGTCTTTGTGCAGGGTGCCGGCGGCCATTGTGTCCGTGCGGGGAATGGAGGACCCGGCAATCCCCCACTGCCACCGCCACGTCCAGGGCCTTTGGGGAATTCAGAGAAAACCGGCGGCGTTTCTGGGGGGTCCCCGGCCTTCAGCCTCCCAGAAAGGCCCGGCGATGGCCTTTCCGAAGTCAGACCGCAGATCCGAGGCAGCTTCCCCCTCCCTCCGTCCCTCATCGAAACCTTGAGCCCCATTGAGAAGTCCCTTCAGGGTTTCGGAAGCCTCACTCTGGGCTGGTACTTAAATAGGAAAGAAAGAAAGAAAAAACCCTAAACCCCAGACCAGCCACCTCTAGGAGAGTTCTCCTGCCTCCCAGTAGGAGGCGGAGAGCCAAGGGGCGTGCAAGAGCGAGGGGGCTGGGCTCCCTCGGGTGGCAGGAGGCCGCGGCTGCGAGCGGCCGCCCTCGATCTGGGCGATGGAGGAGGAAGCAGGCGAGGCGGCCGGTTCCTGAGCGTCGTAATTCCTGTGTCGCCTTCTGGGCTCCCTGCCTGTTGGGTCGCATGATCCTTCCAGCCGCTGCTTTTTTTGCCAGCCACCGCGAGGCCGGCTGAGTTACCGGCATCCCGGCTGCCACCTTCTCTTCCTGACCTGTGATACAAAAGATCTTCCGGGGGCTGCACCTGCCTGCCGTCGCCTGAGAGGGATTTGAATGTAGGTTGTGCGGAGGCGGGGGTGGGGGACCGACTGCCCGGGGAGTGACTTTCCGAGGAAGGCATTTCGGAGAAAAAGAGGCGGCTGGGGTTAAAAAGGCCGGTGTGATGATTCAGAGCCCGCTGGTGCTTTCAATTTGACTTCATTGAAGTCTCCTGGAAGCTAGACCCAGACCTTGATGAGAGCCACAAAGAAACCAGTTCTGGTACCTGGAGGGGGAATGGGATGTTGTAGGGTAAATGGCATGCACATTAATTTTTTTTTTCCCTGAAGCTCTTTCTCTCCCTTCAGAACCTTATCTTGGCTTTGGATCTCCGAAGAGAACCACTGAGCAGAGACCAGACTCTGTGAGTGAGCAGGTGTTTTGGACAATGGACTGGTGGAGCCCATCCCTATTATAAAAATGTCTCAGAGCAACCGGGAGCTGGTGGTTGACTTTCTCTCCTACAAGCTTTCCCAGAAAGGATACAACTGGAGTCAGTTTAGTGACGTGGAAGAGAACAGAACTGAGGCCCCAGAAGGGACTGAATCAGAGATGGAGACCCCCAGTGCCATCAATGGCAACCCATCCTGGCACCTGGCGGACAGCCCCACGGGGAATGGAGCCACTGGCCACAGCAGCAGCTTGGATGCCCGGGAAGTGATCCCCATGGCAGCAGTGAAGCAAGCGCTGAGGGAGGCAGGCGATGAGTTTGAACTGAGGTACCGGCGGGCATTCAGCGACCTGACATCCCAGCTCCACATCACCCCAGGGACAGCATATCAGAGCTTTGAGCAGGTAGTGAATGAACTCTTCCGGGATGGGGTGAACTGGGGTCGCATTGTGGCCTTTTTCTCCTTCGGTGGGGCACTGTGCGTGGAAAGCGTAGACAAGGAGATGCAGGTATTGGTGAGTCGGATCGCAACCTGGATGGCCACTTACCTGAATGACCACCTAGAGCCTTGGATCCAAGAGAACGGCGGCTGGGTAAGGACCACGCCCCTTGTGTATTCCTTTTGCTTGGCCTCTGGTCAGAGAGGTTCCCCAACAGTCTCTACCCTGTAGCTCTTTCTGTTGTGCTGGGTGATTATTGGAGATGTTGTTTCTTAAGGAGATGTGAGTGGCCTCATTGCACAGCAAGAGGTTAACTGTTGTGAAATACGGATGACCTAGATCTTGAAGGACCAGGCATCTTTCATTCTGGTCACCCTCATGACCCCACTCTTTCATACTTGCGTTCCAGTTTCTCAGCAGAGGAAAACAGCCTCTGTGTTCGTTTGGCTCAAAACCTTTGAGAGTGGGAAGTTAGTCCGGTGTTCCCCTCCCCTTGATATACAGGCCTATCATGCAAAGGGGGATGAGTATAATGCCTGGAGAAGGCAGTGAGCATCAGTGACCCACAAGCCCCTCCAGTCTTACTCCCCAGGGATGTCAGTCCTGTCCTGGGCTTCCCTCCCCCAAGTCAAGTTCCCTTTATTTCAGGGTTTGCACACAGGGTACTCTCCTCTCAGAACAGGGCATGGCCAAGCAGGAGATCCCCCTGGCTTGGATGGCCGAGGATGGCCTGATTTTAGGGCAGTGTTAGCTGTGCCAGTGGGCCAGTTGTGTTTGTGCTGCGCCCCTATGTTCATTTGCTGTAAAGTGTGCAACTTTCTGCATGGTTGGCCTGTTTGCGGAGCTCTTGCTGTGTCACGCATTAAGCTCGGGGACTTTGCACCTCACTGCCTGGGGTCGGTTGGGGAGCTCCAGCTGTTCCGCCTGTTGCTTTCCGGCCAGGGCCCTGGGGCCTCTTCACCAAGCACCGTTTGCTGGCAAAGCAAGAACCTGGTCTGTGGGCCTCTGTGGGACATTGAGATTCAGTCACAGACTTAGGAACCAAACTGACACACGGGTGTGAGTCATGTAACTAGCTGTGTGACCTTGGACAGGCCAGTTTACCTTAAGCCTCAGTTTCTTCCACTAAAAAAATGTGGCAAGCCCTCCTTGCCTTGCAGAGTCTTGTCAGTCTTGTTGCTAACATGAGCACAGTGACTGACACCAGCAAGTTTTGCTGTAGTAGTTGTTATTGGTCCCAGACACACTTTCTGGGCCCAAGAGTCAGGCCCCACCCCTTTCCCTGGGAGGGAGAGTTGTCTTGCCCGTCACCAAGTCAGGATGAGACAGTGGTGAGAGATTCTTTGCCATGATCATTGTAGGCAATTTTTGCTCTTCTGCAGTGGACTCAGTCCTATTTCCTTGCTTATCTCCCTGCCTCCTGCCTGGGGGTGGGAGGTGCAGGGCTTATGAGAGGTATGCTGTCCCCTCAGAATACCCAGGATATTGAGCAGCGTGTGGAAAATAAGTCATCTATTGAAGGAGCTGAGGTGGAAGGGGGCCATTCACCATGGACTCAGGAATGTCAAGAATGCAATTATCCATAGGCTGGGCCTAGGGCGTGGCAGGCACTTCAGTTTACCACTGAGCAAGAGACCTCCGAGTAGGCCCTGGACCCCACCCCCTGTCTTATTTCCCATTTCTTTGCAACTTTATCAACTTTTCCCACTGCCACTTCTTGTAAGAGGCAAAGGGGTCAAGTCAGTAGAGGTCAGATGACTAGGGTGGGGTTGGGGGAGCTGAAGGCCCAAAGCTCTCTTGAGCTAAGGCTGACAAGATTTGAAAGCCATTCTGTAAATGAACTCCCTGGGGGGATAAATGATTAAATAGTTCCTGTTGGTTTGTGCAATGACCTCTCTTATTCCCTCCTGCTTTGATTCTCTTTGGGGGCAAATATTTGTTCAGCTGATTACAGGAGGGACAGGATTCCAGGCCTTCAGACACACCCTCTGAGGCATCTCCAAGTAGAGACTTTGGCCATTTGCCAGCTTTGCCTGACTATTGTCTTTGGCCAGTGGTCCTAATACCAAGTGGGTTGTTGCCAGCTATTAACAAAAGGCAATCTGGGAGAGGTGCCTGGTCTGCCAGCCAGCCTCTGCAGAGGGCTACCTGGACCAGAGGATTGCCCGTCACCCAGTGTTGCACGTGGAAAGAGGTTTTAGACAGCAGCGCTGGGCAAGTTCATTAGATCACTGCTGGATTGAAATTCCATCTTCTCTCTCTTTGCTCAAGAATTGTCAGAGCCCGTTGAACAACATACCATATGTTACTTCCTCTTGGTGACATAGGGAATGTGTGCAGAAGAGCCAGTTAAGTCAGAACCATTTCTGGGCACCCATTCTCCCTGAGGCCAGGAGGTAAAGAACATTTGACTTGGTATCCTTTGGGTAGAAGGTACCCGCCCACTTCCCTCTCAGGTACATTCCTGTTTGAGCTGCACAGACTGGCTACTGCAGTGGCATCTCATAATCTTCCTGGAGGCTGTGGCTAGGGTTCTGTGGGTGTAGGAGTTATGGGCTATTCCACTGTGGAGTATGCTCTAAATTTAGCACCCCTACAGGAAAGGGAAAGGAAATGAGCCTGTTTGGAGTACATCTTATGTATGAGTCATTGAGTTAGGTTTTTTACTTATGCAACCAAAATTTACTGAGCATCTACTATGAGGCAGGCACTGTGCTTGGTGCTGGCCATAAGCCAGACATGGTACCTTCCCTCACGGAAATGATATGCTGTTTCATATATTCCACACAATAACCTTCCAAGGTAGATGGGTTTTGTCCCAGTTTACATGTGAAGCTCCTGGTAGCTAAGTGGCCCCAGGTGCCCCTCAGCCAGTTAAGTGACTGAGTGAGAATTTACACTTAGGTTGGCCTCACTCCAAAGCCTGAACTCTTTCCATCCACATCAGGTTGTCCTAGGAGTAATAAAGTGACCCAGACATACTGGCACAGAAAAGCAGAGATGCTGTTGGGCCAGGCAAAAAACACCTGTGAAGGTGCTCACTCTGGTCTGTCATCCCGGTGTTGTTCAGGTAGCTGCAGGGAGAACAGTGCCTTTGTTGGCAGTAGCAGGTTCCCAAAGGCATGTGTGTAGCCTCAGATTCTGGTACTGGTGAAACTCAAGTAGGTATCAGGGTTTTGCCCAGTCAGGGTGGGTTTCTTGTTAATTTTTTCATTGTTAAAACCCTCCCTATCTTACCAATAGGTAAGAATCATTTGGGTGTGTGGTGGCCTGCCCCTAGGTATGTCTACTTAATTGTGAGTGATGCTCCAAAGACTGGAATGCCAGACTCATAGTCACACCACCCCCTGCCTGGAGTCACCTGGCAAGATGCTGAACCTGTTTGTCTCTCCTGTCCATCCTTCATTCTCACGTATAAAATGGAATAATGATAGCCACCTGTCATAGCTTGACTCTAGTAAAGGATCTAGAACAAAGGTGCTTCCGGGGCCTTAATTGCAGGGTGGAAGCGCCCCTTTTAATGAATAGGCTACTTGCCTCAGAAAATTGAACTTTACCCCGAGAGTTTCTTAAGAAACAAAGCCAGCCCCTGAGATATTTACCTAGAATCGTATATGATGTGACCTTCCTCGAAGGGACAGAGTGTTTCTGGGGCTTTCCAATGGGAATGTAGACCGTTACAGGGCAAGGACCCAGGTGGGCCAGACCATTTTGGGATCGCTGTTCTTGGGAAACCCCTCAGCTTGATGGAAACATCATCGTTGAGAGCAGTGGACAGAGTGTGGGGGAGAACACATAATTTGGCGTTTTCCAGGCTGCGTGGCTCTGTGGTCTTCTAGTTTCTGTAGGTTTCTTCTTGCCTGTTCTGGCTTCTTTGACTTGGATGTATGCTTAGCTGAAGCACCTCAGCAATCTTTGCAGATCTCAACAGCTGTTGGCAATTCTGCGGTTTTCATGGGGAAACCCCATTAGAAACCCCAAACGTGGAAATTTTTAGTAATCTCATTCAGGTCCTAAAGTGGGGTAGAAGTGTCTCAGGGGCTCCCCCCTCAAAACACCCATTTCTTCTAGATGTACATTTGAGGTTGCTCTTAAAACTCTGTCACCATCACAGGGGTTTCCAGACTTCCTAAGACTGATTTCCCCAGTAGCCCCAAAGAGCCCTCAGCTTCTGGTAGAAAATTACCCAGGTATTTTTTCAAGGGGCCCCAGCGGAACCCAGAGGGTTTTCTTGACTTTTGTGTAGGTGGTCACCAGATTTGTCTGGGCGACAGGAAGCAGCAGTTGTTAGCTGTTGCTTCCCCAGCAGGTCTCTGTCCTGAAACCAGTGAGCTTGAGCATCCTCCTCCGTGCCCAGCCTCCCTGGTTTTTCCAGTGCCCTCAGCCTTCTATCATGGGGCTTTCTTTCAGCAACTGTGGTTTTTGTCTGGGTTTAGCATGGATAGATTCGTGGGTGATTTCCAGTGAGCTGCTCTTCCGCAGAAACATAATCTCCTGCTACCTTAATTAGCAGGGCCCTGCCCCCACCCCCAACCTCCAACCTAATTCCACGGAGTCCTCCCTAAGGACTCCCTCTCTTTTCTTTGAAGGAGTGCTCTGCTCTTGGATCCGCTTTTCTTCTGTCCCTCCAGCCGACGGTCTGTCTTCCCTGTTCCCAGCTGGCAGACCTGAGTCAGACAGTCCCACTGGGTCTTTTTGTTTAGCCGGGCGAAGAGAAGACCCAGGAGAGTATGCTCACTGGGTCCAAACATCTGAAGGAAGAGGGGCTAAGCCTGTTTTATTGATTGGTACAGTGCCCAGCAGACTTGGGATCCACCAGAGGAAAATAACAGTGGTAGAGTTTAAATTAGTTTAAGGAAGACATTTCTAACACTGCCATATCTCTCCCAGGTTTAGGAGCCTCCTGAGGGTGGAGTCCACATCTTGTCTGTACTTGTTTCCTCAGCACTGAGCATAGCAGGTACCTAATGAAAGAGACACCCACTAAATTTCTGGAGAAACAGACACTTATCAAACCAGAATGATAGTAATGAGAACTGACCTTTACCTAATCATTTATTCATTCAATGTTTATTGAGCTCCTACTATGTGCCAGGCTGTCTTAAGTACTAGAGGTACAGCTTTAAATAAAACTAAGTTTCTCTCCTTGTGGA